AAGAAAGAAAGAAAGAAAGAAAGAAAGAAAGAAAGAAAGAAAGAAAGAAAGAAAGAAAGAAAGAAAGAAAGAAAGAAAGAAAGAAAGAAACCTTACTATCATGCAGTCAAAGCCACATGAGATATCATCTCACATTCATGAAAATGGCCCATATCACAAGAGCTGGAAAGGATGCTGAAGAAGCCTAACCCTATTACACTGCTGATGGCAATATAAACTGGTGTGACCATTTTTAAAAGCTACCTGGAATTACCTTAAACAATTAAAAATGGATACACTATGATATGGCAATCTCATTCTTAAGAATCTAGCCCAAGAACACAAAGCCATCAACTCAAAAAATTCTAAGTTATGCAGTTTTACTGCAGCATTATTTACAGTAGGTAGGACATAAAAACACCCCAAGAGATAGAGCATTAGATTAAGAAGCTGTCAGAGAGTCACATAATGGATGACAAAATGTTGACATTTATAGCAAAGTGAAAGGAGACTGATGTGACTGATGGTAGGACAGGGTTAGCTCGGCGTGGGTGTGAAAGAACCCGCAGAGACTGAGAAGCTGGAAGTAAAGCAAAGTTTTATTGAAAGTTTTCCTCTCCAAGAGAGGAAAGGGCAAATAAAATGCTTACGTAAACTAATGAACACTAATCAATGACGTGAGGTTTCTGAGGTTAAGAGGTGGGTAATTTTTTCCAGTACAAAGCCTTAATAAAAAAGGGGGGGGGAGGGAATAAAGGGTCCAAGGGGTATAAGGGATTAAAAAATTAAAAATTAAATTATGATCTACCATATGATCCAGCAGTTCCATGTCCAAGAATTTATCCAAAGAAAATGGAAACTAATTCAAAAAGGTAAATGCACTCACCTGTTTTACTACAGCATTATTTACAATAGCCAAGGTATGGAAACACCTGAGTATCCGTGAAGAGTAAGTTGGTAAGGCACAAAAAGGAAAGAAACTTGCCATTTATGACAACACAGAAGGACCTTGAGGGCATAATGCTAAGTGAAGTCAGGCAAAGGAAGGTGAATATTATATAATCTCATTATTTATATGTGGAATCTAAAATAAAACTGAAGCTCACAGATCTATGGGTGGAGGGCAGGTGTGGGGCAGGAAGGAGTTTATGAAGTGAAAAGCACACTTTTATTTATAAAATAAACAAGGTATGGCGATTTAATATACAGCAAGGTGAATACAACTACTAATACAAATTACATATGTGAAAGTTGCTGAGACCTTAAAGTGCTCATCACAAGAAAAACAAAACTTTTGTAAATATGCATGGGAATGGATGCTAACTAAACTCATTATGGTAACTGTTTCACAATATATACAAATACTGAATCATTATTTGCACACCGAAACTAACAGATTTATGTCAAGTATGGAGCAACATAAAAATAAGTTCTGAAAAATGCTACAATATGAATGAATGAACCTTTCAAAACACATTCTGACTTAGTGAAATAGGTCAGATACCAGGGACCAAATATTGTATGATTCCCCTTGTATAAAATAACCAAAATAAGAACGTTGAGAGAGACAGGCTAAAGGATATTAGGGACCAGAAGGAGAGGGACAATGTATATATACATGGCTTCCTTTAGGAGTGAACTCAAAGTTCTGGACATAAACAGTAATGATGGCTACACTGTGAATGCAACTTTACTACTGAATTTTACACTTAAAAATAAAAAGGCAAATTTTACATGTTTTTCTACAGGAAAAAATGTATTGCGAACTTATATAAGCAATGCAATAAAAACTCAGAAACCATAATTATGTAAAAAGGAACCTTCTTTGTTCATTTATATACCGAACATCATGAAACAGATTTAATCAAAAATATCAGAGGGAAAAGACAGTAAAACTTTCAAGTTTATTCCTTGACGTTTTAGAAACAAAGACATTTAAAAAGCAACTTTTGTTCGTCTCCTTCATATTACCAAATTTATGGTATTTATATGAAATAGAGGGTGGGACATCCTCTATCTAGTAAAATTTAGCAACATTTGTGATATCCAAACTTCAATTACAACATGTATCTTCCTGTATCAATATATTCAAGATTGATGCTTAAATGTGTACCAAAACATGTCCGTGTAGGCAGGAAGAAAAGACAGGGGAGGAACACAAGGGAAAAAAGAAAAAAAAAATTTAAAGGGTTGATTTGTTAACTTGTTACCTGGAGATACTTCTTCTTTCTGTCTCACAGTGTGGTCTTTTGTGAATTTCACCCGTTGATGAGCTCTGATGCATGTCTTACAGAGCCATTCAACACACTCTACACAAAACCCATTAGCTTCTGCATTGTCCTCACAGCTTGTACACACCTATAAAAGAAACATGTCACATCAATTTTTGAAAATATGACAAGGTGTTCACAGCACTATCATATGAGTGATATACCAAGCATACTTTAGTCTATCAGTTCTTCTTAAAAGTGTTCTTAAATTTAAAGTGACATTGTTCTAAATTATATACATATGAAGTGGAAACAATGATACTGTCCTTTGTTTAAAATACCAAATACTGAGACACTGTGTTGAGATGAGGATGCAAAAGTCCTGCCCTAGTCTCAAGCATGGAGAATGGGCTCAAATCCCAGGTATTCCACTTGCTACAAGAGTAGACTTAGATAGGTTACTAGAAGGTTCCACTCTAAAATAAGGGTAATTAAGACAGATTTTACTGCACAGTTGTGAAGATTTTTAAATGTGAGGCCAACATTATTGGAATAATCACATTAATACTTAACTATAAACTAAGAAGTGCCATAAAGGGGAAAATATGAGCAGCTATAAAAAGCACATGATGGTGGAAACTGATGTCATTTTACTGGGACTGGAAGGCTGGGGAGAGTGAGGAAACTTTCCAAGCAATACTTTCTCTAAGGAGACCATATTAGCACCAAAATATGAAAGGTGAGTCATCAATTACTGCATGAAAAGCCTTCTAGACAGAGAAAACTGCATGTACAAAAGCATCCAGCAAGAAGAGCAAGGCAGGTTCAATGAGCTGACATAAGCTGAGTATGATTGAAGCAAAAAGATCAAGGGGAAGACTGGCAAGAGCATAAGCTGGGTCAAAGCAAGCAAGGGACAGATCAAGCAGGTCATGCGGCAATATGGTCTCTAATAAGTTATACCCAAAAAGCCAGAGTTAAGTAAATGAATGGCCAGATCTGCTTTTTTTTTTTTTTTTTAAATCACAGCTGCTGCAATGTAGAGAAGAGATTATAAAAGGGCAAGTATTCCTAAACTTAGAGAAGGAAGGGATTTTTCAGCCCCTTCAGGTGTAGTGAGATCAATGACAGAGATTAGTAAGTAAAACTGGCTGGTTTGGAGGACCCCCTGGATATAAATGGTAAAACCCCTATGTTTTAGCTTTTATAACTTGTAGATGGTGCACTACTCTCTGAGAATATTAAAATTATATACCTATAAGCATTCCTCATAATAGCATTTGTGACTAGGGGAAAGAACTTCACTGTTCAGTTAATGGTTTACATTAGCCAAACTCCAATATGCAAATAACATTGCCTTACACCAAAACCTGCCTTTTCTCAGCTCTCATCATCTAGCCTTTTTAACATTTGAAGCCCAATTGATCACTGCAATCCTTGAGGCTCTATCACTCAGGGTTATGACACTACCAACCTTCCATTCTGGATCTACAGAGATTTTGAGATCTAGGAATTGGCTTCATACACTCACTTAGATTCAACTAACACCCTTACACTACAAAAAAAAAAAAAAAAAAAAAGCAGAATCTATATACTGCTACAGTGAGATCGCGAGTATATGAAATAAGATTTAAAAAGCAAAGTGGGGGCCCTCCCTGGTGGTGAAATGGGCTAAAAGCACTGACACTATTTTTTTTTTTTAAATAAACAATGTTTTATAAAAAGACAATGTATAGGGCCCTCCCTTTGGCGCAGCGGGTTAAAGCACAGCACTAAGAAGCTAAGGTCACTTCCACAAGAGTTCGATCCCTGCCCCGATGGTGACCCGCCCGCTGCTCCCCTCAGCAGTGTACTTCGTCAGCCTGTTCTGCTCCCCACTCTGTCTCTGGTGAATCCTCTCATCACACCTGCACCTCCGGCCTGTACCCCAGTTCTGTATGCATAAATCTTAAAAAAAAAAAAAGTATATATTTACACACATTTACATATATGTTCATATATGACTTAGTGGTTAGATAGCGTTTCCAATTGTAAGTCACACCAAAAACTGTAGCCACAAGTTCGAACCCCAACTGGGGGTGGCGACGGGAACACCCACACGATGCAGAACTCTTCTGACCTGCCCGCTGCTCCCCTTAACAGTGTGTTTCAGTCAATCTGCCTGTTCTGCTCCCCACTCTCTGTGGTGAATCCTCTCACATCCCGCACCTCTGGCCTGTACCCCAGTTCTTGTATGCAAATGAACCTGCCTGCCAAGTGGTTACCTTAATCGTATAAAGAAGATTTATTTACTTTAACTAAACTTTAAAGCATGATGATCTGCATGTAGTAAATGCTGTCTTCCTTATTCCATATTGACAGGAAACAACTATAATTTCTACTTTTAGCACCAACCCCACTCTTAGCCTGTAAGCTGTACTTATACTTTATGAGCTGATTCCACACTAGAGTCTAACAATAGATGGTACTGGAGGGAGAATATGTCAGAGAAAGAAGGCATTTCTTTGTGTTAGCTGGTTTCCTACTTGCTTGCAATTTCTGTCAACCTCACACCAATCAATGCTGCTTTTACCCAATGGCAGCAGTTTCATCCCATAGCAACAGTCAACTCTCATTTGCAGTTTTCCTGACTTCACCATGCCAGTTCAGAGATACCAACACCACAGGTCCACTCCTGCTCCTTGGATGTCTAAGATCAGATACTAAGATTGAAGGCTCAGAAACAGCTAAAGACAAGCAACACCTCCTCTTAAGATGTCTGAGTTGACATTCCACAAGGCCCTTCCTCTAAGTTTCTAATTTACACTAATCCCAACCCTTTGCCTTTATCCCTCAGCTGCTTCCCCACGGAGTTGCTAAACCTCTATGATACTTTAGCAAATTTTAACTTATTCTGAAATATTTTTTCAATAAGTAACTTTTTATCTAGCCAACAATTGCTAATCTGGAGAATTAAAATGTCCCTGACTTCTGATACTATATATTTTATATATCGTACACATGCACACACACATGGAGAGAGAACGACAAAGAATAATATATCAACATAATTAAAAACCAAGATTTCTAATATTGGAGAAGTGAGGTAAATATGAAATCATTAAAATTCATTTAAAAATAAATTGGAGAGCCTTCCCTGGTAGCGTAACAGGTTAAAGCACAGCACTATGAAGCTGTTCATAGCCACTGCAGTGCAAGTTCGCTTCCTGGCCAGAGGTGACCACATGGTGCAGCAGACCTCTTCTGTCTCACCAAATTAATCAATTTGTACATATGACATTCTCTCTTTCTCATTTAAATGAAAGTCTTTGTTAAATTATTTTCCTAAAGGGCCTAGAAAAATGACTAGCACCCATGATGATTAGCAACCCATAATATAGTCTCCAAATACCACAGGAACTAATGTTTGGTTTCAGGTCTAAAAAAGAAAATGAAATAAATAATATCTTATCCAAAAAAGTAAGGGCGACAGTAATTACTGCAAATTTCTCTGAAAAGAACTTAGAAATCAAAGTGAGATACACACTGCCAACATGGCATATTGTGAGCACCAGTAAGGACAACTACAATACATTTTATATCAAACGCCCCTGAGTTCATTTTGATAAAATGAACTCACACACACATCAGACATCTCTGAAAAATGCTAAGAAACTATGTCTCTGCTCTCAAAATTAGCAACTAAAGGGGGAAAAATGTAGCATTTAACCTACCTTTCTTGTATAACTAGAGAATAGACAGAGGATGCTTTCTCTTTCTACTTCAACTATGTAGAAAGGACAAAGAATGAGAATGTCATCAGTTTTCAAAGTGCAAATGAAATATGGGCTGCTAGTCATGACCATTAGTGGCTGTTCATTAACATGGAGAAAAGTTAAAAAAAAAAAAAGAAAAAAGAAAAGACAACCAAGGTTACATCATGTTTCCTGCCAGAAATACAAACATGGGGCGATCAAAGTATTCTCACACCCCTTCACTCGATGAGACCTGAATTCAAGCTATATTCTATAGCTTTACTAGTTTACACAAAACACAAGCTTATGACAGAACTATGTTACATGACGTAGAAGTCATCGAAAATTTCAGAATAAAGGTATCTCTACTGAACTAAACTCTAGTTTATATATTAAAAGTTGGGAAAAAGAAAACCAGAAGGTAAAGGGATAATTCAAGATTAATTAAAAGGTATGTTTGAGACAAGTCAACCAAATTTACTGTAGAGGCCCTCATGGAATCCTTGTAGAAAAATCAGTTAAAACAAAGACAACTGTAATAGACATGTGATCACTGTCTGGATGTTTGATGACATTAAGGTACTACCATACTTTTTTTTTTTTTTTACTGAGGTTTATAGATAAAAATTTATGTAGAGAAATACTGAAATATTTGTGGATTAGAAGACAGATTGCTTGGGGTTAACCTCAGCATAATCTAGTGGTAAGGGGTAGAAGTGTTAGGTTACATTAAGACAAGATTTGACTGCTGAATGAGGTAATGGCTACATGGGAATGTTACGCTAACCTGCTCCCTTTCCAGTAAAGCTTGCAATTATCCACAACAGAAAGTTGTTAAAAGACACATTTATTTAACATCATGATCAACCTATTACACTGAGCAATCTGTATGGGATGCTTTACATTCTTCTCAGAACAGAAACTAAAATAACCTATTATACAATTAGCCATCCTACCTAGGTCAGAGTTTCCCAAGAAGTAGAAATAATGAAGTTTTTAAAAAAACTTTATCTTCAGCTATGAGTTCTCTTAGGAGCTCCCTATTGTCTATAGATGACATCTACATATCAGTCCCAGGACAAACTCCGTCAAAACCAAATGACTATCTCTACTTTGACTTTCTTCTCTTTATTGCGGAAAGGCACAGCATCCTAGCAATGGATGCTCTACATCCACTCAGGAATATCATCTCTATATCCACTCAGGAATATCATCTCTACATCCACTCAGGAATATCATCTCTACATCCAATCAGGAATATCATCTCTAGTGCTTTGTAACTTATGCCTTTCCTCTCATTACAGCAACCAGCAACCAGCTATAGCCCTCATTACCTCTTGCACCGTGTTTCACAGTTTCAGTCTATCCTGAAGTATAAGACCTCTCCCATCTTCATTCTTTAAATTTCCCTGTTAAGTACCCTACTCTTGAATCAACTTTAATATCATCCCCCATGCCTACACTTAAGATATCTACTGGACTCTTTTCAGTTCGATTATGATTTATCCCTATGATTTTTCTGTGACAAAAAAAGAGGGGTTAATTAAAAACTAATTGATTGTATGGAGCCATAAAGCACCTCTTGAATTTGTTCTTTACATCAGAATCTCTTTAATTCTTATCTCTTCCTTTCCTATATGGTACATATCATTATTCCATGTTTATTATTTTACTGCTTTGCTTTTGAACTTCCTGGATTGAGCATTAATATACACAACTACAGTTTGTCTAGTGAATTATAATTGGTGAGTGATATGATCAATAAAATCTATCTAATATAAACACACATGAAGCAATGACATCTGCAAGACAAAATCATTAGTATTCTAAATGGAATTTTTAGAGGGGTTACATACTTGAGACCGTAGCTCACATAAATTACAACATCCAGGGCTTCTCTGGTGGTGCAAGGGGTTAAGTTGTAGCACTATAAAACTATCCACAGCCACTGCAGCATGAGTTTGATCCCCAGTCAGGAAGGCGACCCACAAGGCACAGCAGACCTCTCCTGTCTCCCCCGCTGCTCCCCTCAGCAGTGGATTTCAGTAGATCCACCTGTTCTGCTCCCCACTCTGTCTTTGGTGAATACTCTCATACCACTCTCCTTGCCCACAGCTGCTGCATCTCTGGTCTATACCCCAGCTCTTATATGCATAAATATTGAAAAAGGGATAATTATTTTAAAAAATTAGATTATCGCCAACCCTTAAATACATTTGATGAAAATTCACGTTAGGCAGACTTCTGGATATTTTTGAAACAAAAAGAGGTATTTTAGTTACTAGTGAATAAATTTAAATATATCTCCAAGAATAAAAGGCTGAAAATGAAAAAGCTGAGAAACATATAGCTGTCATTGCTAAGAAGTCCTAACATTATACTACAAGATGATAACTTTTATATTAATAATCATTTTTCCATAATCAGATTCAGTTCCTTCACAGATCTTCTGTTCCAAATTATGAATCATGATCCAAAAGCAGACTAATACACTATAGTTAGCACATACTGTAGAATTAATCATGGCTTGCTCCCTTCGAGTATGACAGCTCATCCACTAGGGACATGACATTTAGATTTTAGGGACCAATAGAAATGTTGCACATGTGGGTTATGGAAATAAAAATAAAAAGTAAAATATCAATGGTCTTTGAAATGTAATATGGAGAAATGCTACTGAATGAAGCTTTTACAGAAATACTATGTAGGAAGGACAGCATGTTTAAAAATTAGAAAACCTTACTAATCAAAAGGTAGGTTTTTTTTATGTGTATCATTAAAAAAGAAATATGGGGGGGGGCCTTAAAAAATCTAACTGCCAGTACATAGGGAAATTACACAGAAATAAAGTGAAATATGAAATTTTTTCTGAGATAGCGATGTGAAGTTCTGTACCCAGAACTTTTCTATTGGCACTGTTTCATACTATATGAGAAATTATCTATTATTCTTTGTATACCTTTTTAAAATATTATATATTTTCACATATAAAATGTTTGACACCTTTTCTTTTACAGTCTCCAGCAATCTAGACTGCCTCATTAAGAGGAGGTAAAAAGTTCAAGAGTGGGTACACTTACCTGATTAGATTTTTCTACTGTACTGCTGGGAACTTCAGTAGTGTCCTTCACAAAAAAATTGTCTATGATGTGTCTCTCTGCACATTCTTGGCTGCAAACTGGACATCGAATGACTCCAACTAGGAAAAACAAAATTGCAATCTAAGTTTAAATATAAATATACTGAACATTTACCCAACAATTCTCATCCAAATTGGCTGGGTTCTTCTCTAATGACCATTATCTTCAAATTTATACCTTTGAGTTATTTAACACAAAGCAATTCATTTTATGCAGATTCAAATTTTGTATTTGCAAATCACACATCTCATATATTAAAGTATGAGTAAATCCTCATAATTTTAAGAGAGATGACCTTCAAATAAACATTTCCATGCACAACTCTTTGTATTGTTTGTGACTTCTCTAGCAGTGGTTTCAACAGGAATGTGCAGAACAGCATGGAAGATTTCTCAAATGCGAGCTCTGGCTTTCTCTGAAACTGTTAAGAATTAGGATTTTGAAAAGTGGAATAGATACACTTGTTTTAACATCTCCATGGGAGATTAAAAAACACTACTTGCACTTTCACAAGTAGTTTTTCTGATTTAAAAAAGAGGAAGAAGCATCTTGCATAGTGTTTGATAAACTCATGAATTAAAAGTTAATTTTTAAAAATCTAATATAAACTTGATGCTCTAGTTTGTAACAAGACAGCACTAAAGTTCCCTGCTGTTTTTGTAAAATGAAATGCATAAGAATGACCACAGAGAAGTCCTAAGATCATCTCTTCTGCATATAAGGAAAAAAAATCCATTTCTTAAAAGAAAAATATGTTAACTACTTAGGAGAAATTGTTTTAAGTGGATACAGGTTATTGTGGAGAAAAATGTTAAGCTATAATAAGCAATGAAGAATATCTAAGTAATGAAAAAAGTCACATTACGATGGTAAAGATTTCAATTCTCCCCCAAACATATCCATATATTTAACAGTTTAGTAATAACTGCAACAGAATTTTGACAAACCAGGGGGACATGCCTACCAAATAGTAAGAGTTACTCTAATAATACATAATTAGGAGGGTTTGAAACTCATGTAAGGATAATAAAAAAAAAATGGAACTGTAAATACATAGCAGAAACAGCTTCATGTATATGTAAATTTTACATGTGACATGTGGCACTAGAAATCAGTGGATAGGGAAAAGAACTGTTCATACTGCTAGGGAATGAAATTAGATTTCCTACTTTACTCAATTCAAAAAAGTAACTCACTCACTTTAAAGCCTTCACAAAGGTATTTGTGTAACAAAGAAGGAATTAATTTCTAAGGTAAATACAAGTACCATAAAGAAAATATTAATACATTCAACTTCATTAAAAGCTACAGCTAGTAAAAAAAAAATTAATGAAAGAAAATAAGAAGATAGGCATATAGTATAGGTGAATACCAAGAATATTCCACTTCCATAAATTTGACATTTTAAGTGAAATGGGCCATTTATCCAATGAAATAACATGACTAGTCCTGTAATTGCATAGAAATTGGCTGCAAACAAAATTAAAATATCTTGGGTGTAAATCTACAACACCAGCAAAGGATTTGTGTGCTGAAAACTAAAAAATGCTGATGAAAGAAATCAAAGAGCTAATTAACAGAAAGACAGTGTTTGTGAATAGGAGTCATTAGTGTAGATGCCAACTCTCCTTAACATGGCCTACAGGGTTAAACAATTCCTATATGACCCTAGCAACATACTTTTTGGTAGACATAGACAAGAGTATTTTAAAATTTATACAGAAAGACAACTGCACTATACCAGCTAAATCAATATTTAAAAGAACAAAATGGAGACATCTCTCTAACTGAAGGACCTAATATATAACTATGGTAGTTATTGATAGAATGACAAGATGAACAATATGAAGACCTAAAACAGATCCCTGTGAGTAGGCCAACTGATCTTTGACAAAAGTGCAAAACCAATTTTATGCTGATAAATATAAAGGCTGATGAGAGAGATATATAATATTGTGTTCATGGATTGGAAGTCTAGTCACAGTAAAGATGTCAGTTCTATACAAACTCATCTATAGGCTAACATACATTCCTATCAAGACTGTAAACAAGGTTTTTTGGTAGATACAGACAAGGTTATCCCAAGATTATCCAGAAAAATATTATTCCAAAGTTATCCAGAAAAATAAAGGAACTAGAATAGTTAAAGGAATTTTGGAAAAGAAAAAAAGAATTGGCCCTCCCTGGTGGCGCAGCGGGTTAAAGCACAATACTGAGAATCTAAAGCCTCTTCCGCATGAGTTCGATCCCTGCCTGCGATCCCTGCCTGCCGGGGAGGTGACCACATGCGCGGCAGACCTCTCCTGACCCGCCCGCTGCTCCCCTCAGTAGTGTACTTCGTTGATCTGCCTGTTCTGTTCCCCACTCTGTCTC